CAATGTTTCCAGAGTTACTGAAAGCTTTTGCCCTATTGTCAGGGTCAATGACTTGATTGTCAGTGTTCTAAGTCTCCTCGTTTGTTTACTTTTCCGTACTGTTTCTTCAATGTGTACTGTAGTTACATGCAGTCAAATAACCAGCTCCTCACTAAGTGCCACATCGTGGTTTTCTATGATGAGTATCTCATTATGCCCCATATCGTGAATTATGTGGGTGGAAACTTAACTCTTAATGAAGTACATTCGTTAATTGACACACGACTAATCAGTGGAATGTAAAATGGTTGCTTTGAATCATTTCTTGCAGTTTCGAAAATGTCGAAGATGGGATGCCCTCAGTCGGACACTGATCCAAACAGTGTGACGATTCTGCGTAAAGGAGGACCTGTGAACAAAACCTTGAAAACAAATGCGGTACGCCAAGCTTATGTTTTCAATCAAAAAGTCTTCTATTCTTTTGCTTTTGCCAATATGTTCCAATGGCCGCCCCCCGATGTCAGACTTTGCGATTGGAGCGATTTTGCACCAATTGCAGGAGCGACGGGAGATTTACACCGCCGACCACAATAATTCGGCGCCATCAGTTCGTAAATCTCCCGTCGCTCGCAGCTCCCTGCCACAACGGCCAAGGAGGCACATCACGCCCGAGCGTATCCGTCGCTCCAAAGTGCGAGCGTTCACGCGGAGACCCCGAGCTGCGCGGGTGTATCGGTGGTTGGACGGTTGATAAAATCTCCCGCCTCGTGGCGACGGATCGCTCAACGCGATTCGGGCAAATGTCCAATGCAAGGTGACTCGGTGCCCTCCGTCCAAAACCAGGGCAACGTTTACTTGCTTGCGACTTCTATTCTGATGAGGTGCGTTACTCCAATTTTTGACTTATCATGAGATAGCTGTTTACTTTTTTATGTGTTTTTATGTTACTTTTCATCTTTGTCTATCTCGTACTATTCGATGTCATGTCTTCTTTTGGCATTTACTTCTTCACTATATTTCTTTAGTTTGCTTCTTCTTGTATTTCTCCCATTATAGCTTTTTGTCATCTAGAATAATGTGTGTGTAATTTTGCAAGTTGAAAACTTGTGCAAACTTTTCTCGGTAACGTGCACGTTTGCGTGTGGGAGGTGTTCTGAGATGGGATAGTTCGCTCCAATTCCCATCACTTTCACGTAGGGCTGAATGTGTACCATTCGATGATGACCTTGCTTGAGACTTTTCTAGTGGTTACATTTAGATAGTCCAAAAAGCCTCCAAGGCGGACAAAGTGATCTTGCACTAATCTATAGCGTAAAGTAACTATTCTAGAAAATTGTCATTTTCGGGAAGTTTCGGAGTAGTTTCCCGTTGAGGAATGTGCTGTGTCATTGAGCGTGTATTACATCTTCCTGGAAGAGTTGGCTTTTTTTGCTCACTGAATACTCATTCTGAACACTTATATTGTCAAAAAGAATCAAGAGAAATTAGGAGGGATGCGTTCACTCAGACCAGAACACATGCGCATAAGATGCATGAAAGTGGTGGTCGAATCTTGAAAACTGTTCAACCTTGTTTTTTTTTCGAATTGTTTCTATTCACATATCATGGAGTCATGGATTTTATGTTTTCAGGCTGTAAATGCCGCAATCCGCGCTGGTGCTGCCGTAGAATCGCAAAAGAAAATATTGGCTGGTGGAAATCGCCAACATACCAGCAACAAAAACACTCTTAGGTATGGCACTAATTCATCAGATTCTTATGTAGTTCATTGTTAAAATGTTTTAAGGGGAAATTTTAAGTGAGGGGATAAGGATAAGGATAAAGCATTTGCCGTTGATCAATCCCTTTTTGGGATGCGGCACGCATTCTACTTCCATTTGTACATTCGTAGTGGCGTTTGAATGCGATGTGGCCTATACAATGACTTGCGGGGGCCAGCCGATGTACAAGTCAGTGTTTTTATCCTCCCAGACAAGTCTGGTACCAATTAACCGACCCCGGAGGGATGGAAGGCTTGGTTGGCCCGGGCGACTCACGACCCAGGATTTGATCCCGGACCGCTCGCGTGGTAAGCGCGCCACTTGCCACTACACCACTTCCACATGAATTAGAGGGGAGTACTTTCAATAGATCATTTGTACACTCCATTAGCTCGCTCATCTAACGAAGTGAACATAGAGGTGGTTGGAAAGAACAGGAATCGCTGGCACTGCGATTAAAGAAGTGGAGCGGGAACCAACTGCGACGAAAGTATACGTGTATCATAGGGATGGGCGTTGAGATATAAGGCATTGGTCAGAAATGATTCAAAGACAGTTTGATCCTTTGCGCGCGGGTTCTCGACCACGAAATGTAAACTAGGGAAAAATGTTCTATTGAGCAGCTTGAGTTTTCTGTTTCCAATTCTTTTTACTTGCTGCTACTTTCTCTTAATGAATTTCCAGAGTGGGAGTTTTTTTTTGCTGGGTTCTTGTTGAGAGGTTCAAGAATTTTCCCATACTTAAGCGGAGGGGACAAGTGAAAGAATGGAGGAGAAATTCTGTATCTTCAATTATAATGTTTCATGTTTAGGCTTGATGAGGAAACAGAAGAGCTTCATCACGATCGTGTTCCCCTCTGTTTAGGAAAAGCGATGCAGCAAGCTCGCCAAGCCAAGGAGTGGACTCAGAAGGATTTATCTACGGTGAGTTTGGTCATTCACGATATACCGTCACTGTATCATTGTTTTCTCTGAAGGCAATCAACGAGAAACCACAAGTTGTGGCTGAGTACGAGAATGGCAAGGCAGTCCCGAACCAGCAAATTCTCCAGAAAATGGAACGCGCTCTGGGGGTGAGTCAGACATTGAACTTTAATTATGTACTTCAGTGACAGTCGATGTCCTGGTTTGTTTGATTTGAAGGGCATCGGAGTTTGTAGAAACAACTGGTTTTCAGTTCAGTAGTGGGAGAGTGATTTCCTTCTAGTTTTCGATTTTTTATTATTACAGGTGAAACTGCGTGGAAAAGACATTGGCCAGCCGTTGGGTGCCAAGCACAAGAAATAAGAAATGGTTGAATGGAAGTGCGTACACTCTGCATTTTTATGTGTTCTGACACGCCTGTTACTATTACTGTTTTTGTTTTTATCCAGTGCGAGTATATGTTTTCATGAAAATGTATTTCTATTACTAATATAAAAATTAGTTATGCAAGGATCCCTTTCACAGCAACAGCTAAACAAAGCCCTCCCGAAACCGTGACATCTCCAAATTTTTGTCTTCTTTTCAAAGTTTGAACATTTTTTAATCCGCAGTAAAAGAGAGAAAGTTATTTACAGAGAGATCTATAGGTAGATTTCAACGGTCCATAGACCCGGCGATTCTTCTGATCAATACGCATATATCCATTGTGGTAGAACTGCCAAGTCTCCCAAACGTGAGCTGTGTACGTCGCCCTTGGTTGCGATGAACGCGCCTGTTTTTGTTTTCATAAATAGTGGGTGAAAAATTCTCCTCCCTACAGTTTGCTGAAAGCATGGCATGGTTAAAAATTGAGTAATCTCTCAATGCGCTTCTGAGATTATAAGTCTATCAACACATGCACCTTTACACCAATTGTTTGCAAAAAAAAGTGGTGGGTGGCCTTATTGCCATTTGCCGCTATTATTGCGCCCTCTTCGACGACCGCTTAGCAGCACGTTGGCGAACCGACACGCTAATTACAGCAACGTTTGTCAAATGCGGGAGAAATGGGGAAAAAATCACATATAGGTTTGTGGAAATTATGCCGGTGGCGTAGTGGCGAATGGCGCGCATATTGCGCGCACTGCTGAGGGATCGAAAACTGGATCGTATCCGCCTATAACAAAGCCGCTCGTAAGCTCGAGGTCGATTGAATACCTACTTTACTCACAGGGGACAATCAATTCTGTGAGTCTACACATCGGTCAGCTCCCTGCAAGTTATTGTATGGCCCGAACCGCATAAAATGCTACTACGATTCTAAACTTAAGTAGAATACGTGGCCTAACCCAGAAAAAAAAACTGGTCAACAATTACGATTAATGTGCCATCCTTCTACTAGGGGAAAATCGGTAAGCTCAATACCTAACAACATAGAGGAAAACTGCGACAGAACAGGAACAAAATGCAGTTCAGTGGTAAAAAACACGAAAGAGATGAAACGATAGGCCGAAGAAAGATACGAGGAATTGACGTAGAGGTGATACACAGAATAAGACAAAATGCGCAAGAGAGAGGGAAGTAGAGATGTGGAGAGGTCAGTCAAATAGGGAGCGCATAAAAAGTTGATTAAGAATGAGAGAATGGATGATCTTTGAAGCAATGCACATGTTTTTCACATATTGTTTACACAACCAGACCGAAAGGAGAACTTGAATTTGCCCTCAGTTTGTGATCAGAGTTCAAGCACACTTTCTCTCTCATTAGGGCATCGGAAGGCAGGTGGCTCGCTCACGTGATGGAGCTTGGTCAGGGCAATTATCGACTGGATCCCGATGACGTCAACACCAAAATACTCGCCTGGTTATAGTTCTTCGCGAATGTTCCGCACTGTTCGGAAACCTCGCATTCGATGCTTAGCGATGAAAGAAAAGCGGTGGAAGATTCACTTTAATGAGAAATTGCTACTATAAAATTGGTGTTACAATACGGGTAAAGGGCAGCTGAGATGAGATAATAAACGAATCGTGAAGTCGAGCGCTAACGTTTCAATGCAACAGCGCAAATATCAAGATCTTTATAAAACTTTCACTAAAACCTATACGAACATATCTCAAATTAAATAATCATTATGGTTAACTGACAGGTTTCGCCGATTCAACTTCAATGTATTTTATGAGATCAGCTCGTTCATCGACTTTCTTCAATCCAGCGAAGACCATCTTTGTTCCAGGGATGTACTTCTTAGGGTTCAGAAGGTATTCAAACAATGTCTCTCGCGACCATACTACTCCCTAAATTAGGAACAACTTATCGAGTATTTGAGAACAACAAAAAATGATGAGGTATGAAACATGTAGAAAATGCGCAAGAGTTCAAAAACTTGAATTTCCCATTGTACGGCTTAATCTGCTCCGCAAATTCTCAAACGAAGCTGCGCTGAAATAATGGCAATCTTCCAACACAAACCTTGTTTTTATTGGCAGCAGAGTAATCAAAACCATCAACGGTTCCGGATTTGCGACCAATAATTCCATGAAGGGTTGGACCAGTCTTAGTAGCTTTGGAGTCGACGACGTGACATTGCAAACACCTCTGCTTGAAGACCTTTTTACCCTTTTCGTAGTCTCCCTCGGGAATATCGCCCATGGTAGTGCCTTAAATAAGAAAACGAAATAAAGAGTGTCTAAGAACTCTGAAAACTCAAGTCTTAAAATGACGGTAATGACTGAGGGGCGAAGTCATGAGTATGATGAAAGTTTTTTCCATGGCAGCCCATGAAATCAGCGGCGAAACGGGGCGTGGCCACGGGCGGCACGATAATACACAGAGACGCAGAGGAACGCAAAAATGGGCGGCGACAATTCAACTTTCGTAAATACGAGCGGATAACCACTTTGAAATGAAACAGCTCATGTAACATCATAACAATTTATTCGATAACAAACAACAAGACGCAGATTACGCAAAATGAGTGGTTGGGCGTCTGGTGGTGAACTGCGACACATTTCTTCTCTTGGAGACACGGTGAGGCAGAGGGAATCTGATCTTCGAGTCGTGGAACATCTTAACACCAGCTCGCTTGGTGTCAGCTGCCTTCACTGCCTGAACCTTGAGGATATGGATTCGATCGGCCTGAGCACGATGACGAGCTCCCATATCACGGTAAGCCTGAGTGACGGCTCCAGCTACGGTAACATCACGATACTCTCTGTACATGTTGTGGTGTCCGGTACGGGAGTCGTACTTCAACCATACACCGTAGTTCTTCACCGAACCAGCTTGTTTGTTGGGGAAAATCTAAACACAACAATTAAAATTCGTGAGAAAAATAAAAATTCATGCACGTGGTGAACCAGGCTCGACACTTACCTGCTTGCAAGAGAGGATCTCGCCATTGGCCTTCTTTACTCGGCGAAGCATAGAGACAAAGTACCAGAAACGAGATTTAGCGATGACGTGATTGGAAGCGAAGATCTGCATCTTCCAGATGGGGGTCACTGGTTCTTTTTCAGTTGGCAGTTTGCGACCAACGACCAAATACTCCTTCAGAGTCTCTCCCAGAGCTTTCGTCGGCATTATACAGACTAAATAAGAAGTAGGATCAGTGAAAACTCCAAAAATTTGACGAGATTTGACTCAAAACAGGAACAAAACGAAAAAGAATCATGGAGTCTTGCAGCCACAATTTAATTGTAACGCATTTTAGCCTAACACAAAGTTCAGCAAGAAAAAATGACAAGGTAACTTCATATTGAAGCATGGGAAAAGGGACATCTTTTCACACGCATCGACATCCACTAGTGTATGAAAAGTGTGTGGGTTTTAACGATGAGTCGTGTTGCGTGTAATAGCACCGTAGTTTGCACCCAATCTGTGTCAGCGCAGTTTCTGTGTCAATTCACGCTCTCCTGGCACCTACCGAGTTGGTACTGGGTCGGGGCAGGTTTGGGCTTGAAATATGTTTTGGAGATTTATTGTTTTTTTCACAGCGGATTTCTTTGTGGAGATATGCCAGGGTACGGGTTCGTTCAGCAAGCGTGTTGTGCGCGATTCCTGATGCAGTCAGAGACCAGGTACGAACATAGACCCAGAGAGCAAAATATCGGAACCTCGGCAACTACAATTGACCTGAATGGCCATATATCTCTACGCCGGAAATTTACTCAATCTCAGTTGATATCACAACTTTGGAGTTCCTCTCCCACCGCCTCTCTCTAGTGAACTTATTAAGTGCTACCACAACGATAGTGACTTATACCGACACCTAATACACCGCACCTAAACACGTGACCCAGCACACATTAAGGCACTTACGAGCTCCATACCAGCATTTAAAAAACCCAGCCCTCAGGAAAGCATCTAAGACCTCAGATAATAAAATAAACGAGCAGTCATATGGAGCGCTAAGCCCTTTCCGCACCACCAACGGCCTCCCTACTGCTAGACGCTTGCGCCTTCAGCAAAACGCACATGAGAAGACCGTTGCGTGCAGAGAAGGCTATCAACCGTAGATTTAAACAGGAAGATCAACAGCTCACAATTAATAAAGACCAAGAGCCTTCGACGACAAGATCAGGCTAGTACCCATAAGATCACCAAACACCAACAAACCAATATTCGCTCAAATCGGAAAAATACAGTCAAAACCCGCTACCCACCCACGCGTCAGAGCTTAGTACACAAGTCACTCTGCTCAGTCTCCTGCCGCCCTAATACCTCTGAAAACCCACTCCGCCGCTTAAAAAAAAAAGGATAAAGCATTTGCCGTTGATCAATCTTTTTGGGATGCGGCACGCATTCTACTTCCATTTGTACATTCGTAGTGGCGTTTGAATGCGATGTGGCCTATACAATGACTTGCGGGGGCCAGCCGATGTACAAGTCAGTGTTTTTATCCTCCCAGACAAGTCTGGTACCAATTAACCGACCCCGGAGGGATGGAAGGCTTGGTTGGCCCGGGCGACTCACGACCCAGGATTTGATCCCCGGACCGCTCGCGTGGTAAGCGTGCCACTTGCCACTACACCACTTCCGCCCTCATATATTGTACAGTTATATAATATGACAATGGTCAGATTTCCTACTTGTCTTTATGTAGTAGGAAATCCGTCCCACATGTTATTCTTGATTGTGCGCTTTATTGCTGTATCCAGAGCTGATTGGACTCTTAGTGTGACGGTTAACTTTTCAGGTTCTAAATGATAGCTAAATATCGTGGTATTGGCCGCTTCTTGCTTGAATTGTCATGCAAATCATCACAACATTGCCAATTAGCTGCGGCGAGTTCAACAGCAAAGCGAGAAGAGAAAAGTTTGATTCACGTCGAAGAGCGATTTCAGTCCGTCCCGCCTCCAAAGCGAAATAAGGAGACTTTTTTGGCGGCCGTTGGTCAGTTTCTATTCAATTTGTTAGGAGTACTGGTAGTCGTTGTTAGTATTATTCATTTATCAAAAGAACAACTATTTTGCTCTACAAACCTTCTTAGCAGTTAATACTTTCAGCCGCCTTTAAAGAGAACAGGCATCGCGGGCATGTTGAATTTATTAACACTGCTCTAAAATATCTGAAGGACTATGGGATTCATAAGGATCTCGATGTATATAAAGCTTTGCTCAATGTTTTTCCGAAAGGAAAAATGATCCCTCAGAATACCTTTCAGGTGAGGTCCCAATTACGATCATTTTTGATTTTTTTAAATGTATCTGAGGGCACTTATTTCAGAGAATATTCTTACATTATCCAATGCAGCAAAACTGTTGCGTCAAAGTTTTGGATGAAATGGAGTGGCATGGTAGGTCATACAATTTTCTTGAGTTGGGGAACTAATGAAATATTAAGCCCTTTTGAAATTCAGTATCTCTATGGTAAAGTGCCTGAGAATTAAGCAAAGTATTGCAGTGAGGAGTGGTGAGGTGTACTCGATATCCGTGAGTTGGGGTAGGCGTGTCACCGGAAGTGACGTGCACTTGATAGAAGCTATGTGGATAAGCTGCTTCCAACATACATCGCTGGATATCAGCAAAGCATGCTGGCAACAGCTTATCCACGCAACTTCTATCAAGTGCACGTCACTTTCACGCCTACCCCAACTTTCGGATATCGACTGTATATTCATGGGAAGGAAATGGATCAGATGACGATTGGTTAGTCCCTCCTTACTTTGGTGACCTTTCTTTGGAAATATCTAAATGTGGGGTGTGTCGAAGCCTTATTGCGAGAAAAATGTGCAGCTATTGCTTGCCTTTTTTGATTCTGCACTGCAATCAACTATACAACAACTATACTACTTCTTAAAATCCTCAGAGTAGAAGTTAGTCC